AAGGACTTTGTATATATCGGGAAGGTCTATTTTACGGTTGATACTGTTGGTTTGTGAGGAAATAATGGATTCTAAGCAAAGTCTGTTGTATTTATGGTTTATATGCCTGTATTTAATATGTGGATGCTCAAGGTCAAAACTGTGGCCTGTTTGTGCAATATGGGTGTAGATTAGGGATTTGGTATCTTTGTTGTGAATATTGCGGTTATGTTCTGAAATTCTGATGCGTGTGGTTCTGCCTGTTTCCCCGACATATGATGCTGGGCAATTATTGCAATGTAAGGAATAGATGGCGCAGTAGAGTCAACCGGGAGTGTAGGTCTATCTGATTTGGTAATGCTATTTCTGAGGATGGTGGATAGGCTGGGGGGACAGTTGTATAGAACCTTGATATCGTATGGGCGTAATATGCGGGATATTGAAACGGCTTTAGGGGAATATGGAAGCCAACATGTGGATCTATGGATTGTAGTAGTTGTAGGGACACTTGGATCAAACATGTGTTTGTCTATAAAGGGTAAGGGGTAACCTGCCGCTATGAGAGTCAATCGGATTCTAGATTTTTCGATAGTTTTAAATATAGGCAACGAACAATGGGTGATGATTCTTTTGGATAGGGTCTTAACTGTATTTATTTTATATGCTATGGGGCTACTGGAGGAGAAGTGTGTGTACTGAGGGGGAATGTTCTTTTTGTGAAAAACTGTAGTTTGAAAGGTGTGCGGTGTGCGTATGAGTAAAATGTCCAAAAAGGGTAAAACGGAGTTCGATTCGGTTTCATAAGTGAATTTTATATTTGGGTTGAATTCGTGCAAGGCATTATGGATACGTTGGAGGCTGTTTGGGTTAATGATACAAAAAACATCATCCACATATCTCCTCCAGTAGTGAATGTCAGAGGGGAGGGTTTGGTTGATCCATGTGTCGAGCGAATTCATGACTATTTCTGCGATTATTGATGAGAGAGGGCTACCCATAGGGGTGCCTCTGATTTGTTTGTAATATTGCATGTTAAATGTGAAGGAGCTAACGGACAGACAGAGGGAGGTTAGTTTTAGGATGGTAGACGCTGTCTGTGTGTCTATGTTAGCTGTTATGAGGAATAGTTGTAATTTATCTGTGATGAGGGTATGTGGTAGGGAAAGGTACAGAGATGTGACTTCAAAAGACGCCATGATGTGTTGTGGTGGCGGAGTTAAGGCTGTGATGTTATCTATAAATGTGGGGGGGTGAGTGATGCTATATATATGTTCGGGTTTTGCTTCATGAGAGGGGATAAAAGGCTTACCAAATATTTGGAGACAGAATATGCAGGGGATTGGTGATAAGCTATGATTGGTCTGAGTGGGACTCCTGGTTTGTGCAACTTGGGTATGCCATAAATGTATGCATCCTTGTTCAAGTTGGCTGTAAAATGAGTATGTTGTCCAGCTGTTATGAGACCCGATTTTTTCATGTTATTTAGGGATTTTTTGAACATTTTGGTAAGGGTGCTATTTTCTTGTGGGGAGATAGATGAGAAGGTGGAGCTGTCTTGAAGGATGTCGGTCATCTTAGCTATGTAGTCTGATCGGTCCATTATGACGGGGTGGTTTCCTTTATCAGCTCTTGTAAATACCAGGGTTTTGTGACTTTTCAACCTGTTGATTATGGCTTTGTAGCTGTGGTTGGGTACTTTGTTCCGGTCTGGTCTTAGTAGGGCTTGGACTATCGCATTCCGTGCTTTAAAAGCTTCGCCATGATTTAGAGTGCTCATAATGCCTTCAACACCAGCAATGATTCTGGGGATGTCAAGTTTGGTTGGAGGCACGTACTGAAGGCCAAGTTCTAGTAGCTTTTCTTCTCTTTCGGGCAAACGGGTTGTGGATAAGTTGATGATCTTGGGAGTGACAGCGCTCTTAGAATCAGGGACATCTGGAAAATCATATTTCCGCTTCCAGTGAGACAGCTTGGTTAGGTGTTTGTTGTTTTGGGCTATTGTTTGATTTTGGACTTTGAGCGTGGTAGATTTTACAAGGTCGTGGAGGTCCTCTGCGGGCATTAACTGTTGAATATGGAAGATGAGGCCTTTAATGGAACGAGAAAGAATTCGGATATTTGAGTATGAACCCTGCACTCTGGCATCCAGTAGTTCTAGCTGAACCTTTTTGGTGATTATGGATGAGAAGGGATTTTTAACTGGATCTTTTATCCTGAGGGATGGTGGGATGAAGCTGACTTTCTGGCATAGTAGGTTGAATTGCAGGTGACACCTCCATTTGGCAAGTTGTATCGATTTCTTTATCCATTGGCGTATATAAAAGCGGAGTTCTGGCGCAGGATAGCTCATGGTAAAACAGCGAAGGTTAAGTTTTTTAAGGAATAACTCTTATCTTGACCAATTTAGTATGAAGTAAGGAACAAAGAGTAGCTTCTTATATAGACATTTTATTCACGCTAGCTTTCGAACCTATGAGGTTCTTCAACGGGCTTGGGTAGCTTTTTACACTAACAAAAGTACTGCAGCACAGGGACTTTATATACACCTAGGAGGAAATTTACATACTTAAGCCGATAGATTAAAGAGATTATATGATGGCGACGTTAAAATTGGGATATTTACATATAAAAACCGAAATCAAGATTTGTAAAATTATGAATATATGTAAAACAGCCAACATTGTTGCGATAAATGAGTAAAAGTCCAAGTGCAGAGACCGGGTCTCCACTCAATGTCACAACTATTGGGGAGGGGAAGGGGGGGGGGGGGGGTGGGAGGAGTAGTAAGCACTATTAATGAAGGACTTTGTATATATCGGGAAGGTCTATTTTACGGTTGATACTGTTGGTTTTTGTGAGGAAATAATGGATTCTAAGCAAAGTCTGTTGTATTTATGGTTTATATGCCTGTATTTAATATGTGGATGCTCAAGGTCAAAACTGTGGCCTGTTTGTGCAATATGGGTGTAGATTAGGGATTTGGTATCTTTGTTGTGAATATTGCGGTTATGTTCTGAAATTCTGATGCGTGTGGTTCTGCCTGTTTCCCCGACATATGATGCTGGGCAATTATTGCAATGTAAGGAATAGATGGCGCCAGTAGAGTCAACCGGGAGGGTAGGTCTATCTGATTTGGTAATGCTATTTCTGAGGATGGTGGATAGGCTGGGGGGGACAGTTGTATAGAACCTTGATATCGTATGGGCGTAATATGCGGGATATTGAAACGGCTTTAGGGGAATATGGAAGCCAACATGTGGATCTATGGATTGTAGTAGTTGTAGGGACACTTGGATCAAACATGTGTTTGTCTATAAAGGGTAAGGGGTAACCTGCCACTATGATAGTCAATCGGATTCTAGATTTATCGAGAACTATTAACTTCTTGATATATGCTAAATATTGAAATATTATTAATGTTTATCCAGAATATTTACATCTTTCTAAACTTAAGGTAAAAACTATTATATAATAATTTAACATATGAGATTTGAATTAGCTATGGAAAAGTGTTACGAAATAGGAGCTATTGCATTAAATATGGGGAAGTGTACATTTTTCAATTGCTATTTATGAGTTCTGTATATGATTCTGGAATTTCAATGTGTCTATTGATGCTTGCGTGTTTTAATGATAAAAAAACTTCTAAATACAGTCTTTTCTGTTTGTTGTTTATGTTGGTGTAGAAAGTTTTTGGGTTATTTAGGTTGAAGGTGTGACCCGTATTTTGTGTGTGTTGGTATAAAAGGGATTTTTTATCTTTTTTATTTATGGATCTGGTGTGCTCGTTTGTCCTGTCTATTGTCTGCTGGTTTCGCCTATGTACATTACTATTGCATTGGTTGCATTCTATTGAGTATATTGCTTGACTGTTGTATATTGGTGAGTTATGGCTATTGTTTTTTGTTATGGGATTTCTGACTATTGCGCCTATCTTGGGTGTGTTTTCGTAATATGTTTTTATACCGAATTTTCTAATTTCTCGGGCTATTGTTACGCTATTAGGGGAGTACGGTATGATGCAAATAGATTTATATGTTTGACTATTGTTTGTGTTATTGGGGTTATAAAAATGCCTTAACATGAAATTATTTGGGTATCCGGCTGTGGTAAGATATTGAATTATATTTTTAGTTTCTATTGCTTTACTTGTGTTGTTGGAGCAATGTATGTGTATCCGTTTTGTTAGGGATTTTACTGTGTTGATTTTGTGACTTAGTGGGCAGTATGATGAATATTTTATGAAATTGGGTTGGAATGTAGGCTTGTAATATACTGTGGAAGTGTACTGTGAGTTGTTTTTAGTAATGAGGATGTCAAGGAATGGTAAGGAATTATTGTTTTCTTTTTCTATGGTAAAGTTTAATTCATTATGGAGGCTATTTATTTCAGTTAATATATTATTGATTTTATCTGTTTGGCAAATGCAAAAAATGTCATCTATATATCTTTTCCAGGTTTGTATTATGTTAGGGAAACGACTGATTATTGTTTGGTCTATGTGTCTCATGACTATTTCGGCTAGTGGGGAGGATAAAGGACTTCCCATAGGGGAGCCATTGGTCTGTTTGTAGTGTTTAGAGTTAAAGGTGAATATGTTTATTTTTAAACTTAAATTTATCAATTTTGTGATTTTGTCTGAGGTGCTATTGTCGATGCCGTGTTGCGAGAGGAGGTTTTTTGGTGGATTCGATAATTAAGGGGTGGGGCAAACTGGGGTATAAGTTTACAACGTCGAAAGAAACCATAGTATGATTATCCTTGTAGGGGGTATGGCATATTTCTTGTATAAATGTTGGAATGGAATTAATAGTAGTGTGGTTATAAAACAACACTTAAAGTTTCACCGCATAAGTTTCTTTTCTGTGAAAAATCAATATTTATTTCAAAGAGAAATATTTACTATTTCTAACTTTTTTTAGATGAAGTATGAAAGGGTGAAAATATGAAGAGCAATGGCGAAGTATGAAGTATGAAAGGGTGAAAATATGAAGAGTAATGGCGAACGGAAAAATAAAAGTGTCCAGGGGCGGGAATCGAACCACAACCTTCCGCTTACCGGGCAGATGCCATGTCCACTAGGCTACCCTGGACGTATTTTTCCGTTCGTAAATAATACTTAATGTAACTTATAATACATTATAAAGGACTGCGGCGTATGATTATAAAACAACACTTAAAGTTTCACCGCATAAGTTTATTTTCTGTGAAAAAATCAATATTTATATCAAAGAGAAATATTTACTATTTCTAACTTTTTTTAGATGAAGTATGAAAAGGTGAAAATATGAAGAGCAATGGCGAAGTATGAAAGGGTGAAAATATGAAGAGTAATGGCGAACGGAAAAAATAAAAGTGTCCAGGGGCGGGAATCGAACCCACAACCTTCCGCTTACTGGGCAGATGCCATGTCCACTAGGCTACCCTGGACGTATTTTTCCGTTCGTAAATAATACTTAAAGTAACTTATAATACATTATAAAGGACTGCGCGTATGATTATAAAACAACACTTAAAGTTTCACCGCATAAGTTTCTTTTCTGTGAAAAATCAATATTTATTTCAAAGAGAAATATTACTATTTCTAACTTTTTTTTTTTTTAGATGAAGTATGAAAGGGTGAAAATATGAAGAGCAATGGCGAAGTATGAAGTATGAAAGGGTGAAAATATGAAGAGTAATGGCGAACGGAAAAATAAAAATAAAGTAGTGTGGTTATTGCTATCTCTGAGTATGGGCGTTAGGAACAGATTTAGGAATTTCGCCAAGGGAGCTGCTGTGGAGAGATAAAAGGCAACTATTGTCCTTAATGGTATGCCCGGTTTGTGGAGTTTTGGCAATCCGTATATGTATGCTTCGGTATTCATCTTGGATATGAAGTTCTTAAGTTCTTCATCAGTTATTGTTTTTTGTCTTTGCAGGTTTCTTAGTTCCTTTTTGAATCTGTTGTAATTTCTATTTTTTCTAATTCAGAAGCTGGTTCGTAATATCTATGATCATTCAGGGTGGTGTGCATCTTCTCGATATACTCTGTTGTATCCATAATGACTGTTTGGGCGCCTTTGTCGGATCTAGTTATGACTATTTCGCTTTTATCTCTAAGTCTTCTGGCTATGGTTCTGTTCGCAGGGTTTGATTTTGGACAATATGTAAGAAATACAAATTCAACAAAATACAAAAACAACAAATATGTAAGAATACATATTTACATCTGAATTAATATACAACGGCGTAAACTATTGTAATTGTGAGGGATAAGAAAAGAAGAAATTAACTATATGAATGTGATGTTTAAGGCATGATGACGGGTGGATGTGGAAAAGGTGCTATTTCAACAGAATATGGTAATAAGTCAGGTATATCGATATGTCTATTGATACTATTGCATTGTAATGATATCATGGCCACCAGGATCAATCTTTGATATTTGTTATTGATGTTCCTATAATGGATGTTAGGATTGGATAAATCAAAACGAGTGACCTGTGTTTAAGATATGGGTATATATTTGGGATCTTATGTTCTTATTGGTTATCTTCCTGCTGTGTTCATCCATTCTGATGGCCGCAGATCTACCCGTTTCCCCCACGTAAATGGCGGAGCATTGATGACATGGGACGGCATAGACCCACGCCATCAGAATTACAATTGTTGGTGGGTTTGTTAGATCGGGTTATAGGGTTTCTGGTTATGGATGCGATGTTAGGGTTATTGTGGTAGAATGTTTTGATGCCGTATGGTTTCAGTAGTGAAGCTATAGCAACTGATTGTGGACTGTAGGGGAGAGTGCAGTGACCTTTGTTTATTTGTGCTGGTTTTGTATAATTTGTTATTCACTGGGGTGATTCACCGTGTTTGTCAAGTTCAACAAAATAAGTTGGTTTCTTGACGCAAGTATTTTCAGAATTTTTGTAAGGTTTAGACTTATAGGGTTTTATCCAAACTTGGACGGATATTCTCCAGTAGACGAAGCAGAGTTTCTTTATTTTTAATATATTTTTGGTGCACAATTGATCCTGTACTTCCATGGATCACTCCGATTATCAAGAGTTTCTCATTTAAACCTGGCATCCCATTTGCATCTTTCTTTGCTTTTGATAAAAAATAATCAATCAGAGAGCCACCCATCTTCCATATAAAGGCTCTATCGTACTTATCTATGGGATTATCACCAAATGATGATACAAAATTTTCTTTCCAATCTTTCCAGTTGAAATTATCTTCGTCAGAAAGTTTCCGTCAAACCACAATTGGGCTGTCCCTGTTAAATAATTTCTCATGCCATAGATTTTGTTTGATCTTTCCCCCAGCCATTGTTCAGACAAACATATAGTCTTACCCAAGTTACTGGATCCATGTTACTACCAGAAAACTCTGGTGCTTTCATTTCTACTGGCTTGTGTGATGCAAGGCCTTAACTAGAGAATTTACTGATTTTTGTTGTTCAAGAATAGCTTCTATTGTTGTCTTCTGTCACTCTTGATTTGGATTTAAATTCTTCATCTTCATACATGCTAGGAACTTTTTGCCACCTACTTAAATATTGTACATAAATAAATACAAAGCATGTTACAAGCAACAATCTTTGTTATATTCGCCGGCATAAATTTATATGAATAAATTTGGAAAATGAGAAAAGTGAGCCTCAAATAGAATTAAATTGTGGAACATTGTTCGATAATTAAATTTTCAATAAAAAAAGGTAATAGCTCTAAACAAATAAAGAAGAAATGGCTGGTCTATATGGGGAGAGAAGCATGTCCCTTCTAGTTACCAAATAAAATCTTGGTCCAAACAGTTTAAATGGGGCACAGAATCGATTGACTCTCAACCTGGAAGATCACTCGTTGATATTATGCCCTCTGCTTCCTTTTCTACTTGTTATCAGAGGGCATAAGCTGCATTTCTCTCTGGTATAAAACTCTTTTTTCTCCTTCTCGATAAAGAATATGTATGTGCAACAAACCTAAAGGGAGGGGTCGGTGGAAGGGTTTTGTTGTTTTTCAATTGCTATGACCCGGAATCAAATCCCCCATTGGGCACTTTTTCTAATTTATAAAAAAAATGCTCCAATTTTCCCTAATTCTTGCAAAAGTCCAACCCACCAGCATGTTTAAATAACCAAACAAGGCTCTGGCACATTTGTAAGTTGAGTAAAAATATCAGGCCTCCAGGAAAAAGTATCTTTTCAAAAATCTTTTATTGTCTTTTATGTGAAGAGAAGGAATTCTTTGCTATTAGATTAAAAGATTTGACTTTATTTCTGCATATCAATCTGAATAGTCTTAAGCTCTTCTATTTACATATCTATGATGATATAATCAGTGATAATGTTACTCTGCTTATTTACACAATTATATTAAGAATATTTATAACAACTTGACAAATACATAACATCCCTAGTCTATATGTTATAGGTAGTTTCAAAGTCTCTCTTGGTCTCAGTCTTCTTGGAGATGGAGGGTGGTCTCTTCATCCGCAGGTCCCTGAGGTCCTGGTGTAACACCTCAGTAGACAAAGTTATTTCTTCCTGAGTTGCTCCTCCAGTGGTCACAGCTTCCTCCTCTGGCCTCATGGAGTCTCCTGATTGTGGTTCTGACTCTTTATAAGGATTTAGAATACAATCTATTTCCTAATGGTTGAACATGGCCTCCTATGGTTGATATGGTTTGCATGCTTTCCATCCTTTAACAGTACCTTGTAGGTGACAGGTCCAGTAACTTCTTGAATAGCAGCAGGTGTCCAATATGTCTTCTTTTTGTCAAACATTCTTATCTGCACCACATCTCCTTCCTCAAAAGTCCTCTCGTTGGTTCCTGAGTCATACTGAAGTCTCCTTGTATTTGGTTGGGGTCAGGTTTCAAATTCTCCAGGTGTGTTCGCAATCTTCTCCCGAACATCAACTGTGCTGGTGTTTCCTCTCTAGCCAAATGCGGGGTGTTCCTGTAATGGAACAGAACTCTTTGTAATTTGATTTGGTTAGTTGTACCTTTTGCCTTTTTAAAAGAGGTTTTAAATGTTTATTAGATTCTGGATGATAAGGCATTACGGTGCAATGTTTAATGCTATTAGCCTTGCAGAATTCTTTGAATTCTTGTGAAATAAATTGACTTCCATTATCAGTTGTGATTTCTGTGCATATGCCTCTGTGCATCTATATTGACTGAAAATGTGTCTCCCATAAAAGGTCCAGCTAAATCCATGTGAAGATGAGTCCATGGTATGTTTGGGATATGTTTGTGGATGCAACAGAACTTTATGTGCATTCCTTTGATTTACATGACATTATGTTGCAATATTTTGCTTGGTTTTCAATGTCAGAATCCAATTTAGGCCACCATAAACCTTCTAATTCTTTCAAAAAGATTTTCTCTCATAGCTAATGGTACAGGTCTTGCCTTAAAAAAGTTTTGGTGGGGCATCCTTCTTTATACCCAAATCTACCAGACCAGAAAGGGTTAAGATATTCTGGGTCTCTTCTGTTTTTAAAGGTTTGAAGTGTGCAGTGGCTATGGGACACTTTTAGTAAGGGTCTTTACTGTATTGATTTTATGGCTGAGAGGACAGTAGGAGGAAAAACGGATATAGTCGGGGTTAAAGGATGGCTTATTATAGTAGACAGTTGTTTGGAATTGATGCTGTATGCGCATGATTTTTATATCTAAAAAAGTCAGGCTAGTGTTTGTTTATTTTTCATAGGTGAAATTCGAGTCGGGATGGTAACTGTTGGGTTTTCCAAAATGTTCTTGGTTTGATTTTCGAGGCAGATACAAACATGTCGTCAAATTATTGATGCCTAAAAATTATGTTGGATGGAAATGAGGTTATCGAATTGTCAATATAATGCATGAAAATTTCTGTGTCTGAGGTTGAAAGAGAGGAGCTCCCCATGGGAGAACCTTTATCTGTTGGTAAGTTTTGTAATTGTATGTTATGATATTTGTTTTGAGAGGCATAGCGCTATAAGTTCGGATATTTTCTTGACAGTGATCTGATCAATCTATTTTTCTTTCAAGAGCGCTTCAGTGCTGTTCAGTATCAGTTGTGGGAGACTGGGTACCGGGATTCACATCAAATGAAACCATGATCTTGT